AAAATGTGCGTGCCCTAATCCCTGGCACCTGTGAATGTTAGTTGCTACATACCAAAGGAGACTTTGGAGATGTGATTAAGGGTAGGGCCTTAAAATTATCACCTCCTAGATGATCTGGATAGGCCCAGTGTAATCACATGAGCTCCTAAAAGCACCGAACTTTCTCTAGTGAGAGGCAGGAGAGATGAGGCAAAAGCAGAGGTCAGAAAGATTGGAAGCATAAGAAGGACTTGGTTTAGTGTTGCTAGCTTTGAAGATCAAGGGGACCACTAGTCAGGGAATGCTGTTAGCATTTAGAAGCTGAGAACAACCTCCAGCTGATAGCAGGTAAAGGAATGGGGACTTTTACCCTAAATCCACAAGGGACAGAATTCTGCCAATAACGAATGAGCTTAGAAGTAGATTCTCTCCCAGGGCCAGATAAGAGCCAGGCTGGCTGGCACCTTGATTTCTACATTGTGAAAGTAGAGAAGAGGAATTAGCTGAGGCTACCTGGACTTATGACTTATAGAACTGTAAGATAATACATTTGTGTTGTTCTAAGCCACTCAATTTGTAGTAATCTGTTATGGTGGCATAGAAAACTAGTACAGGCTCCTTCTCATTTGCTCCTGTTTCAGCCTAGATGTTACCTCCTCAGAGAGGCCTTTCCTGAGTATGTCTTCTAAAATAGACAACCTCAATCCTACCCCAGATGCTCTCTGTCATGCTACTTTTTTCCTTTATTGCATCTATCTCAAACTATGATTATTTTATTTTTCCTATCTATCTTCCCCATGAGAGTATAAACTCTGGAAAGGCAGGGCCTGGTTGGTCATGGTTATCTATTATTTTAAACGAAGGGTACAACATATCAGGCACATATTAGGTCTACAATGTACATTTGTTGAAAAATAGTTTTTAATTTAATAGTAAATGGGTTAACCACAAATGGAATAGTGGAGACTGTATGGCAAACAAATGGTATATAAATATAATGGAATATTACATAACTACTTCAAAGGTTAACATGTCTTCTATATCAATTTTTGGAAATTGGTATATGAAATATATATGACAAAAAGGAACACAAAATAGTTTGCACAAAAGTACAGTTGTATAAAATGCATTTATATGTGCTTTTAAAAATTAGAATTTAATTTTGGAAATAAAGTTTAGTATTTGTAATTCTGCCCTTAATACTAATCTTTTGCATATAACAATATGCAAAATGTGGGGACATTATTTAATTCTTCATCTACAAAATAGATCCAGGGTTAAGATTCTGAAAGGGAAGAGATAGGTGTGCATTGTTTGGATTGATAATCTTTTTTTTTGGATAATGACTCATAATTGTTTTTAATTTATTATGAATATATAAGTTATAAAGGATAATATAACAAACATCCATATACTACTACTTGACTTAAGAAAACATTACAAATACAGTTGTAATAGCTTGTCTCTTTAAGATTAATAAGCATATCTTTAAACTTTTGTAGATAATTTTTGATAAATTATTTCTGCTTTTTTAGAATTGGAGAGAGAGTGCTCTCAGGGAGTTTTGGGAAGCCCAGAGTCAACCTAGCCAGGATCTTTGTGGGGAGGAATAGATTGCCAGTCACATGAAGCTTTAGCTCCCTTTGACATAGAAAAACTCCCCCCTTAATCTTTGCAACTTTATTTACAATAGATTCATGGAACTTTGAGTGATTATAGGATGTTTTGGGACTTTTAGATATTTAAAATTAAACTGGTAATCATTATATTTTTATTATATTGTGCATATATACACATAAATAATTTTCCTCTTCTGAATGCTTTATCTTGCTTCACTTATCTTGGAGATCATTTTTGCTGTTAGCGTCTCTTGGCAGAAGATTTTTCCTCCAGTGCTAATAGGATCTTCCCTGAGTTTATTTTTCTGGGTATGATTCAAAAGTTATTTTTATATTGTCCAATGCCTCAAAGGTATAGAAGGTAGAGATGTATATATGGAGAAGGTGTAAAGGCTGTGTTCCTGATGACACTATATTTTAGAAGCTGTGTTTTTGGAGCTCTTTTGGGCAACACTATTTATTACCAAAACCTTTTCATATAAAGTTTAAGGACAAATGGAAACAATGAACCGTTACACTAAATGCAGAATTTAATCCATTAAAAAGAAAATCAAGGAAGTTCAGCTGCATCATCTTGGATATAAAGCCAAGAAGGTTCTTAAAAAATACCATCATCTCTTTTAAGTATTTAAGTGGCAAGATGCCAGAATATCAAGGATCTTTTTATATTATTGAAGACTTTTAAGGGGAGAAATCATATGTTATTAAAGATAGGAGCTAAGAAGAGATTGATAACTGACGGTAAGTATTCATGCTATTCTTATGGACAAAATAGAGATTTTCTGTGTGATACTATGGTATTATATGAGTTAACGAACTACTCTCTCTAAAATGTGCTTATTAATGGACTCGTGTTAGCTTAGCGACTTTAGATGTATGCTGTAGAAGTCTATCTTCAGCACTATCTCGTTGAACTTTTTTTTCTTAATGACATAAATGAGGATTCTGATTATATGTATATCAAGTTTGTAGATGCTGTAAAGCTGAGAGAAATAACTAATGTGCTAGATTCCAGAATCTAGACTCAAAAAGAATCTAATAGGTTATAATATGGTCTGAGTTTAGCAAGATAAGACTTAGGGATCAGTGCTAAATCTCATTCCCAAATCTCAGCTATTTAAATAATATTAAGTGTGGGGAAATTATTTCTTTATAGAAATATATTTTAAAAAAGGGGATTTTAGTTGAATAAGTACTTAATAAGCCAATAGTGTAATATAGCTGCCAAAAAAGAGATACACTTAAAAAGTGACTGATAATATGGAGTCTTTCCAAAAAAGAGACTTATGTTGTTAAAAGACTTAAAATTAGAGACAGTTTTCAACTCCTTGTGAAAACGTTCTCCATTCATCCTTTATTCAATCAATATGTTTTAGGCATTTCTGTGCTTGGTTCTTGGAAATAGATGTGAGCAACAAGACAATGCTGTTTCAAGTAGCTTTTATTCTAACAATGAGGAGAAAGATACTAAATAAACTAAATAAGAATTTCAAGCAATGATAAATACTGTGAAGGAAAATAAAATGAGATAATATGACAGTGAGTGGCAGTTGGTTAGGGTGATTAATAACCAGGGAAAGTCTATCTGAGGCAATGATGGCAAGGGGCCAGCCATGCAAAAATGTGGAAAGTGTTCATGCAGAGGGATGAGAAAGTACAAAGGCCCTGAACAGAAGTAGCTGGAGAGTGATGACTGAAAAGAGTTGTGGGAAATCGAGAAAGATACTAAGTTTTAATTTATTCTATGTGTAACAAGAAGTCAGTAGAGGTTTTAAGTCAGATACGCCCTGATTTTCCTTTTGAAAAGATCACTGCTGAGTGCACAATGAGTCATGGGGGAAGACTGGTTATAGAGAAGAATTTGGAGCAATGAATAGTTTAATGAATTTTAAGCATGAAACCATTTTCCCCCCATCATTGCTTCTAAATTACCATGATTAATTTTTTCTTTGACTTACCTTGACAATGTTTTAAGAAGCTTTAATAATTTTGGTGCTTTTCTATTATCAAATGTCTAGCTTATTTGCTATGAACCTAAAACTGCTCTAAAAAGAAGTCCAAAAAAGTCTAGTTCAGTCTAAAAACTTACATCTCAAACTCTTAATTTCAAGCTTCTGACAACCAAGATAGAATAACAGACATGATTTACCCTCCCACCTGAAACAACTAAAAAAAGGACAGAAAATTTATGAAACAATGATTTTTAAGACATTGGACATTAGAAACAAAAGATAGTGATCTCGAGAGACAGAACACAAATGAGGAGACCTCTGCAATTGCTCAGCTTGCAGTCTTGAGTCTCCGGGCTGTGGCTTCACTGGTGAAATCTGCCAAAACACTTAAAGATAACAGTTATTCTATACAAACTCTTCTAGAAAATTGGAGAGGAGGAAATACTTCTGAACATATTGGATTGGGCCACCATTATCCTGATTAAAAAAAAAAAACAGGCAAAGACTTTATAAGAAAAGAACATTTCAGACCCATATCCTTTATGAATCTAAAAGTAGGAATTCAAAGCAAAATTTTAGCAGTTGAATATGTCAATTTATAAAAAGGATGTTGCATCATGATTAAGTGGGGTTTGTTCTAGGAATGCAAGGTTAGTTTAGCATTTAAAATCAAATGTAATTTACCATATTAACCAACTAAAAAAAGAAAATCATATGGTCATCTCGATGGAGAAAAACATTTGAAAAAAATGAAATATCCATTTCTGATTTAAAAAAAATCTCAGCAAACTAAGAACAGAAAGGAAGTTCCTCAACTTGATAAAGGATATTCAAAGAAAACCTAACATATTTAAATACTGAATTCTGAAGTTGTGACTTTTTAATAGCATTATTGAGATATAATTGATATTCAAAGAACTATATACATTTGAGCCATACAATTCGATAAATTTTGACATATATGTATATTTGTGAATTCATAACCACCATCCAGGTAATTAACATATCTATCCTCTCCCAATATTTCCTCACATACCCTTATAATCCTTTTCCCCTCCTTTTTTCTTTGTCCCTTATTCCCAGGCAATCACTGATTTGCTTTCTGTCCCTATAGATTTGCTTATGTTTTCTAGAATTACATTAAAATATTAGATAATATTTAATTTAATATGAAATTTAATATAAATACAATAAATCTAAATAGAATTTTAAAATATTAAAATATGTTTATATATTTTCATAATATATTTATTATATATAATATTTGGTAACATATAGTATGTACTCTCTTTTTAATATTTTGTCTGGCTTCCTTCACTCAGAATAATTATTTTGACATTCATTCATGTTGTGTATATTAACAGTTTATTTACTTTTATTGCTGAGTAATGGATATACCACAAGTTGTTTTTCAATTTTTTATGGACATTTAGTTTGCTTCCACTTTTAGGCTATTTCAAATAAGGCCAATACTTCTTCCAAGTGTCTTCTGCCTGCCCTCTGCCCCCGAAAAGTCAGAAAACTCTGGATATATTCTTCCCTCACCTCCAGCTTTTGAGAAATAATTGGCATATAACACTGTGTAAGTTTAAATTGTGCAACGTGATGATATAATACACATATATATTTGAAATGACTACCACAATAAAGATAGTTACCATATCCTTCACCTCAATAATTACAATTTTGTTGTTATGATGAGAACATTAAACCTTTACTCTCATAGCAACTTTCAAGTAAAGTGTTCTCCCCTTATCCGTGGGAGGTATGTTCCAAGGCCTCCAGTAGATGCTTGAAACCTTGGATAGTACTGAACTTTGTATATACTATGTTTTTGTTTTTGTTTTACCCTGTACATAAGTATCTTTAACTTAAAGGAAGCTTTTTACAGCTTCTCTTTGGAATATTTGAATTGCCAACATCAGTACTCTTTTGCATTGGGGGTATTATTAAATAAAATAAGGGTTATTTGAACACAAGTATGACAGTCAATCTGATAATCAAGACAGCTAGTGAGTGGCTAATGGACAGTAGTGTTTACAGCATGGACACAATGGGCAAAGGGATGATTCATATCCTGGGAGGGAGGGAGCAGGATGGCATGAGATTTCATCATGCTACACAGAACAGAGTGAAATTTGAAATTTCTGGAATTTTTCATTTACTATTTTGATGTAGTCCCAGTTGTTGATTTTTGCTTTCATTGCTTTTTGTGTAATATCCAAAAAACTTATTGCCAAGACTCATGTCAAGGAGCTTTTCCCCTGTTTTCTTCTAGAATTTTTATGATTTCAGGCCTTACTTTTAAGTCCTTAATCTATTTCAAGTTATTTTTTTGTGAGTGGTGTAAGATAGGGGTCCAGTTTTATTATTTTGCATGTGAATATCCAGTTTTCCCAACACCGTTAATTAAAGAGATGATTTGTTCCCCATTGACTATTCTTTTCTCCCTTGTCAAATATTGATTGACTATATATATGCCTGGATTTATTTCTGGACTCTTGATTCTGTTTTATCCAACTGGCTTTTGGGAGGCAGTCTAGCCTTGAGTTTATTTTCAAGGGAAAAATGTGAATACTTTAAAAGAAGTATCCAGCTAACTTCTTTCTTTTTAATTTATTTATTTATTATTTTTTTTAGGCGAGGCAACCCTTGGTTGACCTCACAGACTGCAAGGACCTTGTCAGCTTACAATCCCTTGTTTTTTATTTTTCATGCCTACAACGCCTGATCTTCTTAGGTGGTCTCCCATCCAAGTAGTAACCAGGTCCGCCCCTGCTTAGTTTTCCAGCAAACTTCTAATTACTCTTTTTTGGAGTGGTGGAATAAATCAGTCATTTAGAAACTACAGTTAGAGATGAGGAGTTCTTAAGTGGTTGATATTTGTTTTGTCATCCTGACCACATACTAAAATAATACGTTTTCAGATCTGTTTCTTTTTCTATTAGATGTTATTGTTCATGTGAATCCAGTATATATATGTTTTTTAACTCCACATAGTTTCTAAATGCCACGATAGTAGAAATTTTAAAAAGTGTGACAGAATAGTAATATTATGTGTTTTAGTGCCTGGCATTTTGTTCTTGCTAGACTTTCAACACATATTGATTGATGGAGTACAATTATGTGCTAACCTTTAACAGCTTTTACTGTTGTTTTCTATTTCTAGCTTTGAAATCCACTTGCCTACTTATGATCCTGAAGTATTTCTTTAGTACCTCTCAAAGTTCTAGGAGACCCTTAAACAGTTAGAGAACTAAGAACCAACAGTAGCACAGATTTGATATTGCACATAAATGTAACGGACAAGTTTTTAGAACAAGCCTGCCTGAGACAGGAAATTCTAGCATGTTAGGGAGGTGGGTAAGAGAATGCTATGTCCAAAAGCTTAGGGTTTTTTTTTTCACTAATTAATGAAAAAAATGTACAAGAAATACTGTAGTGATTCAGTTTTCTGTTGAGACCTCTCAAATGAAAATAATTTTATGGTTTTACAATTCTGAAAGGTGTTACTAGATGAGCACACACATGGTCTGCCTTAATGCTATCAGAGTAAAATGTGGCAACTGATACATCTAAAATCCACCTGTTTCTTTTAATTACAATTCCATGTTTAAGCTTATAAAATAACTGAAAGTAATCAGAATGTGTATATATTATATGTGTGAGGTATGATATGTATATTTAAATCTCATAGTTTGGTTCATTAAGGACCAGAAGAAAAAGTTGACATAGATACAATTGGGACCTCAAGGAGCTTTAATGCATTACTCCTTTCTCTTCCCTTTATTTATTGTTCCAGGCACAACAAATGTCATATATTTGGAAACTTTATTATCCAGGTAATAAAGTTGAGAACCCTTATTTAAGCATTCTTAATGGACTCCTGCCTTGAAATTAGTCTTCTGGTTTAATTATATAGAGTAAATGTAAAATAAGAAGTGTTTGCATCAAAGCATGGCTTTGGGAGGATGCTTTGGAAGAAAATACATAACTCTGAGCCATATATTTCTTTCCAGTGCAGTATTAAAATTTCAGACTTCAACCGCAGTTGTGATTATATTAGCTGCCTGAAGTGCTATTTTAAGAAAGCAGAAGCACCATCATTTGCACACTCCTTATAGATCACACACCTTAACCCTGACTTTCTTAGCTCCGGTTTTCAAAAGAAGCGAGGTCAAGATGAAGAACCATTTGCTTTTCTGGGGAGTCCTGGTCATTTTTATTAAGGCTATTCTTGTGACAGGTATGTGATATTTTGAAAATGACCCTAGGTAAAAGGAAAAATATAACACAGATCTGTTCTTCAGATTTAAACATTTATGTTTGTGCTTTGGTTGGCTAGCTAACTGGCTACATTTTTCTAATATGCCTTAATCTTTATATGGGCAGCGATCTTTACCCTGACAAGACTCACTGTAATGCTTTTTTTTCTTTTTCTCTTTTCTTACTTGTTTGCCTACTATAATCTAGAGAATAATAAAAATGTATATTTTGGATAAGTACTAAGAGCTATACTTACATGAAAATCCGTATTGAATCTTGAAAGTTAGTAGTCCTCTCCTTGAGTGTCTTAATTTATTTTGGAGAAATGAAGTAATAATTATTGTAAATACAACACAGAAGACTGATATTAGTTCTAACAACTTTCCTGGATCTGAGCCCACAGTTTTGATATGACCTTTTATAACAATGTTTAATATTCTACAGGGTGCCTATACCTGATGGCTAAACGTCGGCTATTTTGTTTAGTAACCTTCAAACTGCTGTAGAAAATGGAATACATTCTGAATATAGAAGTACAGTATTAATAATTTTCATCTAGAAAGGCACATGAATTAGAAGTAACATAATTTGACTGGATTGCTTCTAACATTTAGTGAACTTAATTAAGAATGGTCATTTTACATATGTTTTTGTATTAACTTAGCATTAAGAATAATGAATTTCTAATAATATTTATAAAGATAGTAAAACATGTATAGTATACATATCATATACATATATCTTAAATACCTATAAACATGTGTAAAACATATATGTAGCTATATATGTATATATAAGAGCTATAATTTATTGAGGACACATTATGTTCTAGACATGATGCTAATGACTTTACATATAATTCCATTTTATTCTCCTAACAACCATTTGAGGATAGGTACTATTATAATTTCTGACATATATTTGAGCCCATTGAGATTTAGAGAGGTGAAATAACTTATATCTAAGTTCACACAGCAAGCGTAGGGTAGGTAGAACCTATATAGGGCCATCCGACCCTATAGCCCACACTCCTAACTACTGTTCTATTCTGCTTGTATAAGAGAATCACCTTTTAGTAAACTCATTATGTTCATATTTAGTATGTATTGTTTAGTAAATTTTCTTATTTGTATGAATTAAATTAAATTTAAGAAATATTTATTTATTACCTACTATGTCTCAGGTGCTCTTAGAATAAAGTAAGGCACAGTCTATAATAATAGATTTATTAGGAAAAAATAGTCCCTGTCAGTGAGAGAGAATTTTAGAATCTTATGTCTTGGTGAACTGAAGGTATTTGTACATTCTTTGGTACGTATATTAGGTTCCCTAATATTTTTATATAATAACAGTAAAAATAGTTTTTTCTAGGTTTCTGGTAAGAAGTTATATGCCATAAATAAAATATAGACATTTTCTTTTAAGATTTAATAGTTAAGTCACATATTTGATTCAACCTATATTTTTGGTCAGACATTACATGCTCATTTGTATTTTATTGAGAAAAACTTTTAAAAGTCATGAATACAGGAATAGGGAAGAGGATGCCATTTAAATCATCTTACTCTTTTCAAATGTTGAGTTATATTATTATTTTGAATTGACTTAATAACATTTCTTCTTGATTACCTGACAGACTTTTATGAGATTTATTAAGAGGTTATGAATAATGGCATGATAATGCATTATAAAGTACTTGAAACAATTATAAGTACAATAACAATGGTCTTAAAATGTTTTTGCACTGACTGTTATTATTAAGACTGAAATACTGCCATTAGGTCCTCTACGCTCTGGGATCATCTCTAGAATAATTAGACTTCCAGTTACAGTAATATCTATCCTGATTTTTTAACCATTATAACTTGAATTTATGTGCTAAATTTCTTTTTAAGTTGAGGCCGATAGGAGGAAAATTTAAAGGTCACTTAGCTAAAATTATAGGAATAAAAAATATTTAACATTATCATCGTTTAATTAGAACTGTTAAAGTTATTATTAACTCTTCAAATATCTGTTAACTGATCAAAGTCCAGATAATAAGAAATTTTCTTTGTTTAATCTTTGCAACACTCACCAGACCTCTTTGTCTAATATTCAGATTAGACAATAAATGTTGACACTCAGAGTTAAAGCTTTAATGGTCATCTGTGCAGTCATTCATTTATTAATTTTTTTTGTCACTCAGGCATATATATTATATAGAGCTTATACTTCTCAATATTTCCTAAAATGGTTTTGCAAATTTATAGCACTTTATATCTTTATATACTATAACTTTTAAGGATTCTTATAAGAAATTTTAATATAGCACATATTTTATTTGATTGAATCATTATACCATGATATCCTGATTATTATTATGGAAAAGAAAAATATAATTAAGTTTAGGAAAACTGTAGTTTTAAAAATCTTTCCAAATAAGATTATCTTGGGGAAATACATGCCTGTGTTTAGCTCTAATGCAATCTCGGCCAAATATATCTATCTATCTATCTATCTATCTATCTATATATATATATATATATTTACATATATATATTTTACATATAAACATATGTAAACATATATGTAGCGCTATATATATATATACACATATATGTGAGCTATAATTTATTGAGCACGTTATGTCCTAGGCATTATGCTAATGATTTTACATATATATGTATATATGTGTGTATATACACATGTATACATAAACACACATACATACAAGGATGTAAACTTCAACCTGAGTTTATAAAGGCTAATGTTATTTTTTGTTCACTTTTGAATGTGCTGCTTTGATCTGAGAGAAACCCAGTTTAGATTTTTGTTTTCTCTCTTATTTTGTCATTGGCACTGATTTTTACAAAGCTACAGCATTCAGAGAGCTATGTCTCTATTAAAAGCACTAGATTAAAACCAGAATTCTTTCAGCTCAGGTTCCCATGGACTAGTCCAAGGGAAAAAGAAAATTCCTTTTGAATCACATTTGGATTTCCTTGACTATGCTGTGAGATTCCACTTACTTATTTTAGATTAGGAAGGAGAGCGTGTGGAGAAAGCTGTAATTGATCAATTGTAAAACAATTTTTCTGCAGGAAAAAAATAGATTAACTCAATACAAAGTTTATAAATAGACTTTAGTTTTCATTTCTTCTTAACATGTTTTGTCTTTCAAGCCCAAGATGAAGATGAAAGGATTCTTCTTGTAGACAACAAATGTAAGTGTGCCCGCATCACTTCTAGGATCATCCCTTCTCCTGAAGACCCTAGTCAAGATATTGTGGAGAGAAACATCAGAATTAAGTAAGTGGCATTTTATATTTCATTTTTTTCATGTCGTAAGCTGAGATACCCTATGATATTAGCCATTGTTTGAACGTAATACCTATATCTTTGCTCCTCGTTTTGACGTGTAGCACCTTACATGAGGTTGAATCTAGTTAATGGGCTTGAGCCAGTTGCATACAAGTTGGGAGTAGGAACAAGTTTTCCACAAAATCTAAAACCAGTAAGCTAGATCAAATTACAACTGAAGGGTCAGATCTCGTCATCAACATGCCCTGTTTCTGTGGAGCTATTTCAGTTTGAATGAGAACTTTTAGTTGCCTTTGGGAAGTTCAAACTGAAACTGAGATAACACTAAAAGCCTTATTTTGTACCATATGTGGACTACAGAGTATTTTATACTGTACTCAACTGTTTGCATAAAGAAGGTAGACCAATCGAATTGACTAATTTGATTTAGTGTTCACTTGTATGTTGGATTTAAGATATTCTTTTCCTTTCACATATAGTCCAAGTTATAAGCTATAAGAGTTTTATTCAATAGCAGAATTGCTAATAATATTTCAGAAATGAGATTCTATTGGATCCAATCAGTAATGTCTTTCTTGTGAACCACTCCTATCTTGATCAGGTTATTGATACAGAATATAGCATTCAATCTCATTAAATCAATGGGAGAAGTATAATATATTTAAAAATTTGTTTTAAGATCTGGCTGGTTCACTTGATAGCTGTATGCTCTTGTATGCAAATTACTTATCCACTCTAAACTTCAACTTCCTCATCTCAAAATAGGGGAAAAATAGTATATATCTCACAGGGTTATTGTAAAGATAATTGAGATCTATTCCTTTTAGAGACTCTGTAGTTTCTGGCATATTTTCAAAAAATATTTGCTGATATTTATTCACCTAACCTATCTGTCACTTATCATTATATCACTAGAATTCTTAAAATCCCTTTGCTGGTTTCCCCAACATTGTTATTAGGATAAATTGCAAATGCTTTGGCCTAACCTACAACAGTCAACATTACTCTTAAGCTCTTCCACTGCCATTTTTTTTCACCTTATTTTCGAAAATCCGGCACTATTGTAGTGCCTTTTGTCCCCACACTCACAGTGCTTTCTTGCTCTTCTACTTTTGCACATCTAGTTGTCTTCATGAAGAATTCTTTCTCCCACCCATTTAGCCTGGTTAACTCCTCAACCTTCATGCTTAGATATCACTTCCTCTAGCAGGTTCTCTGTGACCATTCAGACTCTATACCACAAAGCTCCCTATTGGAGATAGAACAAATGGAGAAGCATGTAACTTGAAGGGATGACATCCATGACATTGGCACCTAAACCATGTTGAAGAGGAGTGTCTATCTTATGTTTTAATCTCCAGATTTTTAAATGACACTCCTTGATTCTCTAGTCCATCTTTTTCTTCTGTTATGTGATTCTTTTTATGATATATTGTTTTCTGAATTCAGATAATTTGGTTACTTCACTCACTTTGCCTGATGTGTATTTATGATTCTCTGATCTCATTTCTCAAAGTTCTGTTATCATCGCTGTGTCATTATGGCATTATTTCCAACTCCATCACTTACTAACAAGGTGACTCTGAGCAAGTTACTCAACTAATTTGAGCCCATTTCTTAAACTAGTAAATATTAGAACTGTTATTATTTTTGTTATTGTTAAGACTTGGAGATGAGAAAAGCATGGTAAATTTGTGGAATTGCAAGCTGTTGTGTACAGCTGGCCTGCAGAGTAAAGAGGGTGGCATGGTGGCAGATACGGCTGGAAAGTGAGAGGCTTATCATGAATGGCCTTCCTGGCCATCTTAAGGATACCCTGTTATGTGTGGGGAGACACAGGTTTTAAGCAGAAAAGGAAATTAGACTTGAATTTTAGAAAAGCCATTTTGGCAATAGTGTGGCTATTGCCTTGGAGGGGTATTGCTAGAAGAGAAAAGATGGTGTCCTGAACCAAGTGGGTGGATTTCACAGATGCAAAGAATTAGAATCAATTGAATTGTGAGATGAATTAGATATAGGTCACAACAGAGAGGAAGACTCAGGGATGATGTCCAAGTTTTTGCTTGGATATTTATGTGGATAGTATTGCTGAGTACTGAGTTAGGAAAGAAGTTTTTCATTGTATCTTTTGACATATGAGAAGGAATGATGACATAGATGAAAAATGTAAAAGTTCATGAAATCACCTGAACTAGTTGATAAGCATTATCTAATTTTTCATGGAACATCACCAAATCAAGAGATCTGGATTCCAGTTATAGCTTGACTACTTAATAGTTCTGTGATCTCAGATAGGTTGCTAACCTCTCTGATTTGTAACTTATGCATCTCAAATATGTAGATAATATTATTTGTCCATTCATTCCACAAATATTGAACATATTCCACATGTCATACATCCAGCAAGGCACTGGGAATACATAAATGTTTTTGCCTCAAGGAACTTATGTAGTCCAGGGAAGCAATTACTCTTTAGACAAGTAACTAAGATATGGCATTTGTTATAAAAAGATATATGAACTTTAATGAGACTGTAGAGGAAAGAGTTTATTGAGAGGTGAGGATGAGATCACAATAATCATCATGGGAGGGTAAAACTTGAGCTGATTTTTAAAGGAAAAGCAGATTTTTAAAGGAAATTAAGCAAAGATCATTGACAAAGGAGTTGCTGTGAGGTTTGTTTTGAATGGGAAATGTTAAAAATATAGCAAATTATTGTGAAATCTGAGTAAGAGTATTACTATAGAGTGCTTATAGAGTGCTAAATGTCCTGATGAAAGAGTAAGTATTGTCTTAGCAATATGCCTGTTAACCAAAAATAGCAATATCTGCTAATTTCATTATTTCGATTTGTTGTTTTCTTTTCTTTTTTTTTTTTTTAGAGTTCCTCTGAACAACAGGGAGAATATCTCTGATCCCACCTCACCAAGGAGAACCAATTTCGTGTACCATTTGTCTGACCTGTAAGAGATTTTTCTTCATATTAATCTAGATACAGAAGTTAATAACTTTCAAAATTTACCTTGTTAGTAAGAATGTTTTGGAAAATATGTTGAGGTATAAACATTTACCAATATAATTTGAACTGTTGAATACATTAACATCTATGTTAATTATTAGATATCATAAATTATAAAACTTTATTGAAGATAAATGTTAGCCGTAAATTTATTCTAAAGAAGAAATTTTTGCCATTAATACAAGAAGGGCCAATTTGTTTTAATAGCTCAATAATTGGATTTCAGACATATTAACGTGTAGGCATTTCTTTGGAAACTATAGAATCCCATATCAATCAATTTCTTTTTTTAAAAAATCTTCCTTTCTTGTCACTATAAATAACTCGTTTAATCCTAATATACAATTGGGAATAAACCTATCAGAGTAGAAGTTGCTGCATGGACAAAATCATATTATCATATCATTAATTATATTGCCTACTTTCAACTAATTTTTATAGATTAAAGGTTGAAAATTCCTATAAACAATTCTGTATTGTAGAACAGGTGAGTTCTGAAAGAAGTCACCCTTTGTCAGTTTTCGGGTCAGAGCTGCAAGAACTAATTAATTGATTTTGGATAGAAATGTATAGTCACTCAGATTCTGAGACAACATTTGATGAGTTTTATCTAAAACATATATCTGTTTTTCAGCTGTAAAAATTGTGACCCTACAGAAGTGGAGCTGGATAATCAAGTAGTTACTGTCACCCAGAGCAATATCTGTGATGAAGACAATGAGACCTGCTATGCTTATGACAGAAACAAGTGCTACACAAATAGGGTCCCACTTTTGTATGGTGGTAAGACCATAATGGTGGAAACAGCCCTGACCCCGGATTCCTGCTATCCTGACTAATCTCGGTCATTGCTGACTGCATAGCTCTTTATCTTGAAAGGCTCTCCATTTTGATCCAGAAAATTAATATATTTACTACCAATGAATTTGAAATCACGTTTTTTTTTGATGATGTAAAACTAACTCCCCTTCCCCCAAAATTTAAATGGGAGCATTGTCATTTTTATTAGGTAATTACTTCTCAGCTGTATGTTCACACTCTAAGTATTGAATCTCTAACTTATCCTTGCCTAAAGGCATATACTCCTTAAGAATATAATTTCCAGTATTTAAAAAAATAGTCAAGGTGAGAAAATAAAACTCAAGGTTAAAAATCAGAAGACATTATTAAAATTTGTCTTTTTGAAAGATGGGGGTTTGCCTTGGAGAGCCAGAGCTTTTGCACATTCCATGCTGTTCTTTTTTAAAAAAGTAAGACTGTGTAGAGAAAATTGATATATAGACATACATCAGTTATAGGTCTTCATTAGAAAAATAATGATTGGAAAACATGTTTTGGAAATATCTGTAAAACTAATGTAATATGGGATCTCTAATATTTATGATACCAATTAGCTGAAGGTGACATAATTAAATGCATAGCTGAAAATATATTTTGATGTAACACAGTAGATGATACAGATGTTTTGAAAATCAGGATAGTGTAAGAAATTCCCATTGGAAATCATCTGTGTTGTAACCGAATCTAATTAAATATGTATTCCAAAATATTATTCTCTAGCACAGTTTGAACAATTAAATAGATTCATAAGCATATACCTGTGTGAAATAATTTGTTGGAAAAAAGTTTGTGCTAACTTTTTTGTAAGTGAAAACATAATTTATTATGGATAGTTTATAAGTATGATATAATTATGCATTAATCACTGAATTCATACATGTACATATTTGAGGTAGCTTTATCATTTAAACCTAAAAGTAAATGGTAAGATTCCTCCTGGCAAACATAGTGTTAATCATGGCACATGATCTTTTTTTGTGGCAGAAAGCCAAGGCCAACTGACATACATATCTAAGGGTACTGTGGAATGTAAATTTTGATTCTGGATTTAAAATAATGGGAGACTGATTAGTAAAAGACAGTTTCTTGATGAAGAATTATTTCTTTTTTTAAATGGTAATAGTAATTTTTAATAACTTTCACTGTGTTCATGCAGATTATTCAGTGTTTTTTTGTTTGTTTTTTTGTTCTTTTTATGAGTAAGGCTAGGATACTCTGGTGCTTCAGTAGAAATAATAGTTTTGATGTGCTAAAGATACATCGTTCTTGACTAATCTTCAATCTATTATTCTGTTTTATCCAAGTCTTTGAGTTTTGTTTAATCAGTAAACATTTATTGAATATTTACCTCATGCAAGGAACTATGCTAGATTTTTTAGTGATTAAACTGTGAGAAGTACCCTCAAGATAGTCTTTGTTGCCACTCACTCTCTAGAACTCTGCTCACTTGTCGTCTTCTCCATGACCATTTTTTAAAAATTGCAAACCCACTGTCTTATCTTGGTTTATTTCCTCCCATGTACAGATCACCCTCTAGCAGACTATATAATTTGCTTATTAATCTTGTTTATGACCTGTCTCTCCCCACCAGAACATAAGCTCCACAAGTGCAGGCCTTTTTATTTTGCCCAGTGATACATCCTCAGCACCTGGCACATTGAGGCACTCAATAAATTTTTGCTGAATGAATGAACATGAGTACAACTTAGTTGAGAAGACAAGACATATGCATAAGTAATCACAGTCATTTGGCAGACTCTCATAAAGGCAAAGAAATAGGTTCCAAAGTGTTATGAGAATTTATGGGAGACTTTCTTTTCTTCTTCCCTTTTTATTGAGATATAATTGACATAAAATACTGTATATGTTTAAGGTGTATAGCATAATGACTTGACATATGTATCTATTATTTATTGCGAAATGATTACCACATAAATTTAGTTGACATCTACCACCTCGTATAGTTACAAAACATTTTTTCCCCTTGTGTTAAGAACTTTTAGGGGGAGACTGTTTCTTAAGAGCCTTCTCTACTCTCCCCATCTTTGCCTTCCTTTTTCTCCATACCCAATAGACAGTTTGTGTTACCATGCGGAGATTCTTATAGGAAAGACTCCTATTCCAGCATCATTGCCTCATTAAATACCAGCTGAAAGAAGACTGCAAATGTACAGTCCTGTAGGTCTACCTTCTTTCAGAAGTTCAGTTAAACTTTAAGACCATCATATTAATATCAATTTAGCACTGCCTATGCACTAGGCACCAATCTAATGCTTTATTAAGCATTAACTCATTCAATATAAATCCAGAATAGCAGGTGGCTCTGAAATGAGTTATGAAAGAATGAGTAAAGCCTTCCTATTTACTTCATTCACATGTTTGCCTGTATTATGAACAATTTAGCAGGGAAACACTAAGGAATCAATGTAGATGAGGCAGCTGTGAAAGGAGTCTCTTGGTTCTTTGCAGTGAGCATATTTGACCTGTGGCTCTGATATCCACCACTACGTTTGTGTGAGGTCTATGGGCTGCACCCAGCCAATGATGACTGAGTGTGGCAATGATACTAAGATAGGCCGATTCGTGGGAGACACAGGACTCTTCTGATGGGTGACTGACTGGAGAACTCCCCATCAGCTTCACTGAAAATTTATTGGCAGCACTACACCACTGTTAGATTTTGCCTACTCAACCTTCATTCCTACCCTGTTTCCTCCACATAGGTCAGACCTGTATCAGAGTATGGTGGCTCTCCTAGCCTTCTTAGGCTTGAACCCATTTTCTTTTACAGATGTTTTTCCTAATAAATCTCTTGTAATATTAATCTCATCTTGGATTCTGCTTCTGCAGAGCCTGAATTAACAAAGTAGCCAATTATGAAGTATGTGATTTAATGATGATGATGATGATATGGAGCATTCTTCCCATGCCGTGTGATATATCTGTCATTGTATCCTCAGAATAACTCTTGGGTTTACTTTTTTTATGTTGTAAATGAGCAGACCAATTCAGTGGGTAATTAACTATTTGACTGGTTTACTCATCTAGTAAATGGCAATGAAAACTCTGAATCACTGTCATAGCCTGAACAAATATCAATAGAAGCTCTTGGTAATCATTTATGCCCACTATGACATTTTCCTACAGTTCATGTGACATTTGAGGTTAATGTGACCAATATATTGACCTGTCCAATAAGTCAACTATTTTTGTACTTTTTGTCCTCTTTTAGATTTGAATTAAATGGATGATATTTTAAAAAGACAGTCAGATGTGGGTATTATTTGTGAGACTGTTTTCTTTCTCCGTAGTTCTAAGCCATTTGTTTAAGTGAGCACTCAGCACCAGCCAGAGAAAAATTACATTAACAATAGAATGATGTTCCTTTGTGCCAGGCCTTAGAAACCAGTAGACCCAAGCCAAGTATTCAGTTTTCACTTTAAGATTATCTTCATTTTTAATGGTTTTATATAATATGATATTCAAAATGAACCATAATTATGCTTTTGCAATCACAAACGCACAGATGTATACACACTCATAACTAGACTTGAATGGACTCCTTGTCTTGGGAGCAGTGGGACAGGAAAATTACCAGGTCTTGGCTTAGTGGGTAAATCTATGGCCTAGGTTGGAATATAGACTCTATAGTTAGTAACTAAATGACAAGTCACTAAGAGCAAGTTCATTCAATTAGAGTGAAAATGGGAGGGAAAAAAACTATCTTACAGCTTTTTTGTAAAAATAGGGATACATGCAGTAAATGTATTTATATCACATAGTATAGTTGTTGTAGCATTCAGTAAACTTCTGTAATTTGCAGTTCTTACTGTGTGTGTTAATTGACTTTTGGCTCGTCTCTCTACTCAGGTGACAAATTAGGGAAAAAAATAAACATATTGGATCAGTGATCTCAAATGTTAGCATGCATGAGACTCACCTGGAGGACTCGTTGAAACAGATTGCCGAGCCCCACCCCAGAGTTGCTGATTCAGTAGTTCTGGGTTGCAGCAGGAGAAATTGCATTTCTCAAAAAATTCCCAGATGCTATTGCTTGGGAATTGCTTGAGATCATTGCTTTAGAATTATGACTCCATCTCCACCTAGTGGTTGAATTATGAAATACAACACATATGCATTTTAACACGTTTCATTTAAATCTCATAACTGCCCTGTGAAATAAGTGCTATCTTCATTTCACAAATGATAAAACTGAGATGCAAAGAGATAAAATAATCTTATTAAGATTTTGCAAATAATATACAGATAACTGATCATTGGATCCCAAGTCAGACGCCAAAGCCAATTGTCTCATTCAGTATGTTGTCCTGTCTTAAACACATTTTCAGACCATTTTTCCCAGTAATTCCACTTTGAGGAAATAATGAGAAATATGGACAAAGAATCATAAAGGTACTTATCACAACCTTATTTATGATAGTGAAAATTCATAACAAACTTTAAATCCTTCATTAAAAAGAATGATGATATAGGTATACTTTGGAATATTTTACAAACAACAAAAATGAAGTTTTAAGTAGTTTTAATATTATAGAAATTGCTCATAGAATGTGAAGAGGGGAAAGTAGGATATTTAATAAAAGACTTACTTTAAGATTTCTTTAGTACACACATAAAAGAGAAAATAGGCCAAAATATTAACAGTGAATGATGGAATTATGTGTTATTTTTATTTGTTTACATTTACTTTTCAGGATTTGCCAGATATTCTACAATGAGTATATATTTTGTAATGAGAAAAACATTAGTCATTATTAATTTTAATTTTAATCAATTATGTTAAAATTTGGGAAATTATAGATTTCTATCCATTTACAAAATGTATTTAAAGAAAAAGTGATGTTTATTCAGCATCCACTCTGTGCTCAGCACAGTGCTAGCTGCTTTGAGGGGTACATAAGAAGAATAAGAACTGGCCCTCACTTTTGGGGAGTATTCTTCTTCTTTAGGCAGAACTAATACAAGAAAAAATCAGCACACGGCATAAGAAAATATGTGATTAAGTATAAAAGATGCTGTGCTATGAGCCTCTAGGAAAGCTGGGTTAATCTTGAAGGAGTTATTAACGGAATAGAGCCTTCATGAATCTAAGTAGAACTTTCTAGAACTACACGAGCAAGGAAAAGAGACATAAAAAAGCATTACATAAATGTAAGAATAGAGACAGTATCGGTCTGCTCCTTTTCTCTTTAGGTTCTTTATCAAACTGTTCACTTGCATGCTTTATTTATACGCATCTTCTCAAATTGGTGATCTTTATCTTTTTTCAGTGGTCAAGACCTTTATGTTCCTTCCCAGTGATCGTGCAGTTTCCCTTATTTGCAGGAAATAGCCCAGCACTTCACCACTCCAACTTTGGTCTACCAACTGTCTGATTCGTCATCACCTGGGAGTGTGTTCATAACACAGAATTGCAGACCCCACTCCAGATTATGGAATCAAAAGCTGCATTTTAACAAGATTCATGTGCACATTAAAGCTTCAGAAATGCTTATTGAAACAAGCCTGAATCCCAGGTAAAGGAGGCAGCTGCCAGTGTGGTTTAATGGCTGAGGGACTGACATTATCATGATTAGACTCAGTCTTTAAGGGCATGGTGGATGGGTTGAGAGGACTGCATATTAGCCAACACTGAAGAAAAAATCATTTACCAGGTCAATCACAGCAAATACCTGCTTTGTACAGCACAATAAGGAATGAAATATGATTATTTGCATATACTCAGAGGAAATTACTGTCCAAGTTCTGATGGGCACAGAAATAAAGAATGCGGGGTCCTCAGGCGGATGGAATGGGCACTATGAGTGTGGATGACCTTGACTGGGGAGGTGGTGAGGCACTGAGAGTAGCTTTACCCATTTCACGATTATGTCTGTGTTGAACTACAGCTTAGCTTCTTTTTTCTTTATTTGAAGAATTCTCCTCTCCCAGCATGGAATTTTGTTTGTTACCACCTGAATCCTGATTCAAAATCTTATTGGCTATGAATTCAAAGTGAGAGAGAAAGTTCAGTGATTGATGTTACTGGGATAGGGCTGAGGGGCAGAGGCAAGAAGAACAGGGAGACAAAACCAAAACCCATATTTTGTTGTGAAATGGTGATCACGTATTTTCTATCAGGTGCAGTTTTCTTCTGAGTTTTAATGGGGCAGTTGGTCTGAGTCACAGTGAAACCTTTGAGGTTTTGTGAAGGAGAATCAGAGTTGTTGATTTGAAATCCGACATTTCTGGTTCCCTTTTTGTTTTTTAGAAATGAATTTTGGTTTTCTGAGGGCAAGATGAATCTTCTTTAGGGTCCTTCAGGTCATGACTGAAGGAGACTGGGAAAAGTGAGGGCAGAGATATGCAAAACAAGTAATAAGAGTAACTCAAAGTTCATGTCTTGTGAATTTTCTTTAAAGATGTATGACATTAAGATTCTGATGTGAGTCTTTAAAGTAAAACATGTTCAGGGAATCTAAAAACCAGAGGAAGAACCTACATGGCTATTTGGTTGAGTTTCAGAAGTAGCTGGACCCCCTTCGCTTCCTGCTTAAACTGGAAAAGTTCAAGATTTCCTCCAGGCAATGGGATCAATGCCCAACTACCCTCTAGATAAATCTATTATAGGCCTCAAGACAGAAAAATAGATAAGGCAAGTGGTGTTAGCCTTGCTGCATTATCTCTTGTGTTTGCCTTCCTCAGGCGTTATTTTCTTCTCCTTTATTTACTTTGTCAACTAAAGACATCACCATGATATATCCAGCTACTTAAAAAAATCATCAGATAACTAGGTGTAGGTACTGGCCATAGAAATGATGCTAGCGAATGGCAGTGGGCTGGGGGTGCTAGAGAAAAGAGAGAATCACCTTCAGAGCCTGCTAGCCCCAACTTTAGAGCTGACTTTAAAAGCTTTATCAATAACTTAGTAAGGGCACACCGAATAGTTTCTTTACTGTAAGGAACTTAGGCCTGGTATCTACATTTTCAGAAGGATACCTGTGCTGATGAGATCAAGAGTCATTTTCTACGGGGACGTTTTCCCTTTTATTCTTTACTCTATATTCTTAAATTTAATAGATGTTTTTGTCCCACTATGTTTTTAAATTTTACATTACAGAATTCTCAGATGATAAATTAAGTTGCTGTGACTCATAGATGAAGGTGTGTCCACATGTCTGCCAAAACAAGTATATGAACCATACATTTTGATTATTGAAGTGAAAGATTTTTTTTACAATTAAACTACTCATATATAGTTTTAAAAATCATTTGGAAAAAAAAGTAGTAAAACATAAAAGGTAGTTTTATTTTGATGAAGATAATTCTAAAGAGACAGTTTTATACAGAATAAATTAATGATTTTTCAATGAGTGATTAAAATATAAAACCAATAGAGTTAGTGGTAGTTGGATTTAAGCAGCTAGTGGATGGCCTAGGTAATCTACCTCTAGGCTCCCTGCTTACCCTGAGATTCTACAATGCAAACGTTACTGAATATATAGAGCTACAGAGTGTGTGACTCATTTAGCATCCCAGATGGCTTACCTGCAGGAAAAACACACTGCGGTATATTCATGGGAGCTTTAAAAGCCATTTTAAAATCAGTCAATCAATAAATATGTATTGGGTATCTACTGCGTGCAATACACTATGCCAGAAGCTTTAGAAGACTCAAAGGAGAAACTCAGGAAGTGTCCAACATTGTATTCTCCCAAATTTCTGAGATCTTATGAAATCTGTCCCAGGAAATTTTCTCCTAAGAAACTTAGAGTTTCTTAGAAGGCAACTTTCTAGGTGATTCTGAGAATTCTTTCTCTCTAGGAAGGAATATAAAGATAGTAGGCCAAAATGCTATTAATAAAAAACAAACAAACAAAAAAAACACCTACATGTATTCTAAGTAAGGCAATATAGAAATGTCTACTTTACAAAATAATTTACACTGTTTAATCAAGATACGAAGAAAGTGTGTCTGTGAACAGTTCTACCAGGAAACGAAGAATAAGTCTTTATGTTAGTAGTAGCATATAGTGGTAGAATTGCAAATACTGTACTATTAAAGAAAACTAACCATTGAACTTTTCTCTTATTTGATTAGGAAATTGTTTTTCAAATACTGCAGATGATCATTTGGTGAAGGAGTGTGCTAAGTCTTACTCTTTTTATCTGGATGCTCAGTTGAAGAGTGGCAGTCCTTCTCTTGCTAAGCCTTGTCCCCAGGCTGCTAGTTCTTACTAGCCCGTCTTACTTTATACTTCTTGAATGTATTCCTCTGGCTGAGCTGTTTCTACATGGTAAAAGCCATAAGAAAATTAAAAACAAAAGTAGATATTAGTGTCTACTATTCCTGAAATATATTCTACAATGATGGTTAGGCTGGGCCAAGAAAAAAATCAGGATAGAATTTAGAGAGTAGATACAAAAAGAGAGAGAGACATATGGCCTTAAGATATGAGGCACAGCAGGAAAAAAGATAAATTTAAGGGAAGACAAGAGTCAGAGAACAAAGGGATCGATTAACAACAGATACTTCAGAACCGAAAGGTGGGAAGAGAAGAAAACAAAATCGAAAAGATAGATGTAAAGACTAGTGATGGTTAAAGATAGCTTGGTATCTAAGAAGTGATAGAAAGTTGGGGAAGGAAAAAAATAGCTAAATATAAAATGGTTGAGAAAGAAAGAAAAGGAAGGACGATAAGAAAGAAAATGATAATAAAGGTAAAAAGAGAAAGAGGTAGTGGAAGAAAAAAATGCCCAAAGAGAATATTAACTAGGAAAAAAAACCAACAGCACTGACAAAGACCAACACAAGAAAAAAATGTACAATCATCAGAATTATACTGACATAGATCTCCATACATAAAATGGAAAGTGTCTTGCAAAACCAGAGAATTTTGCAAGTATGGAACTTTGAGAGAAAAAAGAAGAGTCAGCAAGCAAAGGGAAACTAACCCTGACAAGCGGCCTCCAAGTTTCAAGGTGGTGGTAGTCATAGCGTCCCTGCCTTTTTTTTTTTTTTTTTAAAGGTCTGCAATAATAGTGACAGTTCTGGATCTAGTGACTTCCAGAAGCCCAACCTGATCTGCATCACCTGGGGCAATACTCCTATGGCTGGAATAGGGGAAAAATTAAGGATCACCAGGAGGGTCAGATACTTAATCAGATCTTGGGGGAAAAAGTTGGGGAACCACTAGAGAATATCGGATATAGAATATCAGTTATTTTCCTTCCCCAAAGGAATACTTGGTTGAGAGAATCCCTAGGCCTGAAGTAGTATGCAGTCTGGCACCTGGTTTTGTGAATTGGTCCCTACTTGAAGGGAATCAAATGTAGTGTGTTCATCTGCATTAAGTGGGTCTACATTTATACTCTGAAACTGGGCCCCAGTAGGTAATCCAGGCAATGAGTTAGGAATTTCAGTAGGCATCATTGGATCCCCATCGAATGAGCCTTTCCTTCCAATGCTAGATGGAGTTCCAGTGCTGGAAGAGTGATACTTTGCTAATTTGGAGCCAAAGCATGCTAACTGTAGGATGCTAGATGGCCTTTGTTGTTGTCTTTCACCCTCACTTCCTTGCACTTCTCTTTGGCTTCCTTCTGGCTTGGGGCCTTCATCGGCTGTACCAATAACAAGCTGCTCAGGAATAAGGTCAACAGTCTTTTCATTAAGCTGGCTGCCTTCAAATATTTGGTCCAAAACATTGTTTCCATCTCCTCCAAGGTCACCTTTGAGACAAGGTGTATTCTTCGAATGAAGGGAACTGGCTTCGGGAAAGGGCATACTTTCCCTTTGGTCTGGTTGATTCTTTATAGAACATGGTATGTTTCTCCTGAGAGTGGACACGTCATTTCTAAAAGGATTTGGGTTTTGACTTTCTCCAGGCAGTCCTTTCTCTGAACTGTTTCTTTGACTAGGTAGGATGCTTGCTGGGGAGATGGTATGTCTTACATGACTATCTTTTGTATACACAGGACTGATGTCTCGGTCCTCCCCTGGTGCAAGACCAAAGGATGGAGTGTAGCCTTGCAGAGCAAGAAGATTGTCCTTGAGCCCCATGGAGCCACCAGCACAGCAAGGGCTTCTATGGCTTAGATGAAATAAATGTGCTTCTTTTTGAGCTGCTGGGTAACTTGGAGGAATTAAGTCCTGGAAAGCCAAATGTTCTCCCTCTGGTGAATTTAATCTAGTAATCTGCATGCCATAATTCAAATTCTCACCTTCACGCCATGTTGGATTTTTCTGAAGCCCAGCTGGGGAGTTACTAAAATAGGGCTGATTCTCTTTCTGGTGTGGTGGCCTAGCAGGGGCTTTGTGTAAATTTGTTGGCTGGTCCCCAAAATTTCCGTTAAAATATGGCCTTCTTTCTTCTTGCCCTTGGGCTTGTATCCTTTGGTCCCAGGAGTTCCAAGAAGGAAGCAGAGTGCTTTCTTCTTGTCCAATAGCACTATTCGCATAATAGCCCCTGTTCTCCGCAGGCAGTGGTACAGTGGGAACTGTGTTATATGATAGAAAATTCTCATCTGGGTTCCAGGGGTAATATTCACCATAAGGAAAATCTTCCGTGGGTTTCAACGGATTATCTAAGGAATAGGGAAGGTATTCCTTTGGTTGATTTGAGGTGTAATGCTCACCTTCATAGTGCCTAACCGTTGGGTCTTCTTTAAAGCTTGACTCCTCTACACCCCATCTTCTTTGTCCTGGGAAAGATTCATCTCCAGTTGGATCCATTGGGTCCTCTTCATTGTAAGGGACTGTCTCTTTCGGGTCTGGAGTATTCGTGGGGTATAGTGGATTTTTGGGCTGCCCCACAGTATTGGGAGAATCATCTCTCTCATCCCATGTATTGCTTCTGAGGTATGGTGAGTTTTCCCTGGGATCATAGGGGTTATAGTAAGGGTAGTACATACCTCCTCTAGAACTGCGTGAAGGATGAGGTAAATGTTCCTCCTGCCTCCCAGGATCTTCCTTAAAAGGTGGAGAGATTTCTTGGCGGTTCCAAGTGTTTCTTCCAGCAGGAAAATGTTCCCTTGCAGGGGAAGGGATTTCCTCAGGGTATACAGACTGATGTGTACTGTGCTTTAATTCTGGTTGATTCGTTTCTGATTCATATGGGATCCTTCTTGGCTCTACAATAATCCCTTTGGGCAAATTCTGGCTTTGGGTTTGTCCATCAGAATTTGGGGCTCTTCTGGAATCTCCTCTTGGGTAATAAGAGTTTTCACGTTGATCAATAGAATTCAAATTTGGGATTAGCCTGTTACCCTCAGGGTGAGGCAGTTTATAGTTTAATTTATTAACTTCGTAGTCTTGAGAGTTTCTCCAGGGGCCAGTTGGATCCCTTGTAGGAATGACTATTCTTTCTTTTTGACCTAGTGGCTTCTCTCTTGGATTTTGGATTTTTTCACTGGGGCTAACAGTACCATGTTTGGAACCCAAAGGGACAATGTTGGTTCCCATCAGATGGTTTTGTGGCCTCTGAGGCTTTCTCCTGAAATTTGCTGGATTTCCTGCATGACTGGGAGAATTGCCTCTTGCAGTAGAAGCATAAGGTTTGCGATAAATTGGGTTTCCTGGACGAACTGTCTGTCTGTCTTCCAAAGCAAAGGAGTTCCACCGAGGACCTCTCTGGACTTGTTGATTTCGGTAAAAAGGCCCGTTCTGTCCATGCCCCATGGCGGTACCAGTGGGACGCCATTGTCTTCCCACAGGAAAACTTTGGAGGTTAGGATTTGGGTAATTTTCACGAATATTTGGCTGACTGGGACCCCAGGGGATTTGACTTCTTTGTGCCCCCCGACCTGATACATTAACTGCAGGTGGTGGGATGGCCCCGTTTTGAGCTGTAGGGCCGCTCACAGTGTTTGGCCCATGGGTGCTATTTCCTGTTGGGCTGGTGTCATTTCCACCCTGATTCCCTCCTGGACTGGGTGCATTTGGTTGGGTGGAATTAGTCTCAGAAACTGTTGAATTAGACGAGGGTTCAGTGGCTGGCTTCTCTGTTTTAGGAGGGTCTTCTTCTTCTTTGGGTTTTTCAAAATCTTGTTCAAACATTTCTTCTGAATAATAAGGAGGACGACCCCCAAATCCATGATATCCAAAATATCCAAAGTAAGGATTCTGTAGGAAGAAGATGGACATTGATAATTACTCTTTGTTTCTCACAACAGTGTTGTTTGGAATTTTAAAATGTGATAGGGAAATCTTATCAGCTATGTGCTTTTTGAACTTTCTGACCGTTATGTCTCTGCTTTCTCTTCCTCGGCCTGAATTCTAAATCTGAGATTTTTTTTTAGGGTTCCATCTTCCACTCTCCTCATTTTTCTGTTCTCATTTTACACGTCTGCTTTAAGCAATCTATTGCGGAACAATTCTTTCAGGATAGAATCATGCCAGTAACTCCCAAAGCCATAACTCTGGCCCATGGCATTCTCTCTTGAGGTTGAGACAGCGAGACTGCTTCCCTGAAGATCTCTTGAGTACCTCCAACTGCATGTACCCAGACAAATATAAAATGAGAGAGTGAAGCAGATACCCAGGCAGTTAGCATAGGCATCAAGAAATCCGTATTCCATCTCTTGGGGACATTGTCTGATTTCCTGCATGATGTCAGGGACATCTCCTTACCCATCTGTTTCATCATCTCCACCTACAAATAAATCTCCTTCTCCAATATTCTATATCTGAGCAGCATTCACCACTATCTGTCCAGCTTCCTGAGTTTCTGCTCTTTCCTTTATTTCCCCCAGAAAATTAATGACCAAGTCCTATAAAATCTAAGCTTTCATCCTCCTCCTTTTGTCCCCTTCTCCTTTATCCCTAATACACCTGAACTATTGTAATAGTTTTCTCATTGGTTACTATGGATGTAATTTTACTTTCCTTTAATCTTGCCTTTCCATTGTCATCAGTGGAGCAGTGATTGCCAGGGGCTTGGGGGACAGGGAAATGGGGAGTTACTAATCAATAGGCATAGGATCTCAGTTAAGCAAGATGAATAAGCTCTAGAGATTAGAACATTGTACCTATAGTCAACTCTGTATTATCTACTTCAAAATTTAAGAGGGTAGATCTCATGTTAAGTGTTTTTACCACAGTAAATAAAGTAAAAAAAAAAAAATAATGATAATAGAGCTACTACTAGTTCTTTGAGTACTCTATTCTCTTTATGCTTAAGTGCCTTTACACATGGCTTATAATGAAACTTCTCACCTACACATTTATCCCTCATGGTAAACTTGACTCATCCTCAGGACTCAGCTTGAATACTCCCTTCTCTTTCCTGACTTCCATGAATTAAGCTCTACTTCCAGGTCTTGACAGCAACATATACTTCTGCTATAACAATTATCCCACTGAATTTCGATTGCCTAATTTCCTAGGATTCTCCCATGTGAAGTTTTTGAATGAAAATATTCTTCCCATCTTTGTTTCCTCAGTATCTAGCATGGAGAGAAGTGCTTAATAAATTTTTGTTTAATAAGTGATGTGATCATCATGAGCTCCGTCAGTATGTTTGTTAGACAGTTGTATGGCATTTAGGTCATTTAGCTTTTCTTTGAAAAATACAATTTAGAGAAAAAGTATTTTAAATATTTATTTGTAGGTGGAGATGATGAAACAGATGGGTAAGGAGATGTCCCTGATCATGCAGGAAATCAGACAATGTCCCCAAGAGATGGAATACGGATTTCTTGATGCCTATGCTAACTGCCTGGGTATCTGCTTCACTCTCTCATGTTATATTTGTGAAAATTTGAAGGTGCATACCAGTTTTGAAGGTGCATACACTTATCTGACTCATTTTTATTTGGGATTATTTCACAATGGTATTTTTGAAAGCACCTTATTTATTGTAGGCCATTACTAACATAGTCATTTTCAATGTCATTGTTTTAACCTCTCCCCTAATTCCCCCCTTCCCCCCCGCCCACCTCCAAGCTATCAGCTTTCCACATTTCACTGAGGACATATCACTTATCTAAGGAAAAAAGAGGAAATAAACTCCAGGGGTGGGGTGCTTTGCCACCATCACATAATGACTTTTTGATGACACAGTGCTAGAATATTTTAACAGTATATCATTCTGTGACATGCAGTTGGCTCTTCTCCTAGTGTGGTGTTGTAAAAAAGTCATTGGACAGGGTGTCAGAAGACTTGGGTTCTGGGTCCAGTTTATCCACTAACTCAGTGAAATTGAATAGTAATTTATCTATTGTGGGTTTCAAAATTTGTACAGTGAGGGAATTAAATGATTACTTAATCCTCTTCAGGGAATAAGATAGGTGGGTGAGGAGATGTCTCTGATATCATGCAGGGGTCTAAGGTGGTTTTACTTCCTTCTTTGTTTCCTAATTGCTCCATTACTGTCCAAGGTCCAGCATCAAACTAGAGCAAGGGTTATTAGGTTAGCTTTCTTTGAGAGAGAGGGAGAGACAGGGGTGTGGGAAATGAGGGAGGGAGAGAGATTTCAATACATATAGAGGAGAAATGATGTATCATATTTATTTTATTTTTGGTACTAGCTTGATTTGTTGTACTTTTTCCCCTTTATATCAATGGGTGCTTAAGGTCAGGTTCATATGCTGGATTTTAACTTTCTTAATGGGCAGGGATCAAAAAAGCATAAACTAAAAGATTGTAATCCCTAATGGGAGAATGTACCTTTACTTGTACTTACCCCACCTTCTTCATTGCTCGCTGGTGGACGTCCATAACCTGGTGGTACCCTCTGAAAGGTGAAAAACAAAATGAACACAAGAGAAAGCCACTTTCTGTACTGCCATTTGTTTGTAAGACTCAAGGTGTTGTAAAATAGTTTGTGTCAGGGATTGGATGTAAACACTGTTAGCTTTAACTTTTGAGTCATTAGCTCTCATGATTCAACTATTAATAATTATAGTTATAATCCATCAGTGAATACTGGTAAATACAAAGGCTTCACCTGAATCTGAGTTCATCCTACTCAAAATATCACCTCCTAGAGATCACTCTGCCCCACTGCCTCCAACACACACACACACACACACACACACACACACACACACACGAGAGAGAGATAGAGATAGAGATAGAGATAGAGAGAGAGAGAGAGAGAGAGAGAGAGAGAGAAATGGAAGGACAGACAGACTTGAGTGCTATTAGGGTCCAAACATCCATATTAGAACATGTAATAATGGGGATTAAACAATGATGTTGTTTTTAGAATGTCTACTTCACATTTAGGGTGACACATTGACAATCCTTTCTGGATTATGACTATAATATTTTTATTTGACCAAAGTTTATTTTCCTAATCAAATCTGGAGGCTGAATTTCTACTCAGGGAAATGTTTAGAAAAGCAGTTCAACTCTCACGGACCCCTAAGGAGTTCTATGTAGACGAGATTAATAGCTACTTCAGCATGAGAATCATACTCATTTGCTTTTTAAATATTTACTGATACTGCTTTGGTTTCCTTAGTTCAGTATGGCCAGAAAAAGAAAGTAACTCTTTTAAGTTTAAAAAAAAATAGTAAGAAACTCTTAATTCTTGAAACGAATTGTCCTTTGTTAATAAGAAGTCTTTTTGGTTGTAGAGTCATAGACAAGAAAAACCAATGCCACAGCTGAATCAAGAGTCATCAGGTACTTCATGTTGTTTTTGTTACTTTAATAGCAACTGGTCTTTCATATTTCTTAAGTTCAAATTGTTTATTTTGAAATTTGTATTCTTAATGCTTATAATGCAATTTCAATAGTATGTTTCATTTTAGTGATTTTAAACTTTAAAGATTCTTATAAATATTATTTTGCAATATTTCTTATAACAAAATATCTGTGGCTAGAAATAATAAGATATGATAGAAAGATCTTTGTTTAATCATAATTTATCTTATGATTTTGAAATTCCATTTTGTCCCAATTTCCCAGTTACATTAAATGATGATAATCTTTGTGTTTTCTAATCTCTTGAGGAAGTGGGGACTGTTTATGAAATAATACAACCCTTTAAAATTAATTCATTAACTAAGTTATGAGTAGTTTGGTGATTTAGCCTGTGTTCATGTCACCAATTTGTCTGAGTGAAAAATTCACATGAAAAATTCACTTAAAAAATTCTTTTTTTCCTGTAGTGATCACTGATATGATGATTTGTTTTACACTCTGATTGGCATATAGCATTCCGTTTAGAGTGTATGAACTCATATTATTTTGAGATATAACATGCTAATATTATTTTTCACTTCTAGTGTAAAGAAGAAAAACTCACGTGCGGAACTTGCCATGGTGGCTGTTGATAAGGAAAAAGCCCATTGCCAAATGGTGAGAATGCCTAGAGAGAAAGAAGAAATTACAGTGATGTAGAAGTGAGGAGAATAAATAAAAAATGAAGCAAACCTATTAATACAATTTGAAACTTGGGAGTCTAAATCTCTTTTTTCATTAAACTGTGATTTTTTATTTTAAGGCAGAGATGATAATGATATTAATTAGTATTAGTATTATTGAACACTTATGTTCTAGGTACTGTGCTGAGCATTTTATACTGGTAAACTCATTTAGTCTTCAAGTAACCATAGAAGATATTAATATTATTATTCCCATTTCACTTAAGATTCTGAAGTTCAGAGAAGTTAGTTATTTGCCTCAAATCACATAGTTGGTAAATGACTGAAGCCAAGATTCAAATCAAGGAGTGTCTTTTCATTCAATTTTGCATTCTCTACATCTATAATAGTGTCTGATAGTAAATGCTAATTGACTAAAAGACAGTATTTTAGAAGTTCCACACTAGATGGGATTTCGAGAAACCATTTGCACATTTTCATGTTTTAAGTTAGGACTATACTTGTGCCATCCACCCAGAAGTGCTGGGAGCAGTGTTACTTTTCATAGCGATATTTTAGGTCCTCATGCCATAGGTCTTGGAAGGGACTTAGAGATCATTTCGTTTACCCGTTGAAAACCTGGAATCTGGAAAGTCGAAGCGACTTGCTTAAGATCATACAACTAACAGGGCTGAGGGTAGAACTTGAATCTCTGTTCTATGATTCTTCCATTAGTGCTCAGATTATTACACTACGTTGCCTCTATTTTTAAAGAAGCTTCCCAAGACAAGAGTTTTGGGTACTTTTTAATTAAACAAAGACTAGGTTTATCTTACCAGGCAGTTTTAAATAGGTGGTGACAACATCACCTTGGAAGAAAGTGTCAAAACTAAAGATTCTATTTTGTACTTAGCAATACCCATATTGAGGAGTACTGGAAGTTTGTATGTGGAGGTAGCATGGCCCTCCAAATCTCTCTGAGGCCATATGACTCTGGTTTGGAATTTTGCTGGGCAAGTCTCACCTGAGGTGTCTGGGCTTCCTCTTGGGGCTGAGTTGGGGCAGGTGTTGGCTGCTTTAAAGGCCGCTTTGGTGATGGCTTTTTTGGTTGAAGTTGGTTGGGTTTCTGGCTCTCTGGGGCTTGATCAGTCTTGCTCTGGTGTTTACGTGCTGAGGGAGATGAGGGTTTCCATGGGTGCCCTGTATTGAGTGGTGGCGGTGGCCACATGGGCATCTGATACTGCGGGAAAAGCTGAGGGAGTTGCAAACCATTTCCATACAAGGATCCCAGTTGTGCCAACTGCAAGGGTAGTAAATAACAGTAAAATTACATGAGGGCTGAGATTCTGGCTATCTCCACTCTGTGTCAGTCTCTAAAACTCAGCCATGGATCTTAAAAATCCTGTAGAACTTAATAATGGAAATTCTAAGGTCTTTAGCTAGTATTTCTTTAAATGTTCTTACAGAAATAAATTTCAATCTTCTAGAAAACCAACCAAACAAACCAAGTGAAATGCGGAATTGGGAGAGAAATGTCGTTTTACAGATCTGGCTGATGACTTTCTAACCTTGAAACCCTGACTCAGGTTAAAAGTGCTCAAGTCCAGTTATAGAGGAGTTGATGTGACATTTATAACTCCTATGACTTTTCACAGGCTGGACAAGGAGAAAAAAAAGTAAAAAGAAAGAAAGTGTGAGTTAAAAAAAAAAAAGAGAGAATAAAAATTTGTGTGTGTTAGCATCCTTAAAGGTACCCGTGCTTCTTAATTACAGGTAAATCCTCATTAATTCCATTTTCATTATTAGAATCACCACAATTACAAGGTTGCCAGGAAGGCTAAAGTAATTATTGTCTGAAAATTCTAATTTATAAGTTGACTTGTTACAACATTAGTTTCCATTTAAATTCTCTCTGGTTTAACCCTAGTCTCTATCTCCAATCTTCATTAATCAAATTGCTACTTTGCCTTGCTGTCTATTGGATGATATACATACAATACAGTGCAAATGCCATGTGGACTGATGGAAAGTGAAATTGCAAATCTTGTATTAAGATGCAGTATTTCATGACAATTAAGTTGGTGAAAATTTCAAATCACAGGCAAAGTCACTAAAACCAAGAATGAGTTTAAAAGAGTTGAGCCAATCAGTACTTGAAGAAAATTGACAATGATGATCATTTCAGGTGAGGGGCTTCAAAAGAGAATGACTTCAATGAAAAGAATTAAAAGAAAATTGATGAAGTCCTTGATTTCTCACTCAAATCCTTTTCATGATCATGTCACAAAAGTCAAAAGTGACATGTAGTTTTATTATATTACCATACAATTTTGTCAGAAAAATTACGCCAAAAGACCCAACTGATACTTGATTCATTTTTGCTTTTAAGAATTAGCACATAGTGGTAAGTATAACCTAAATTTATATAAGTATAACTGAAATGAGTCATGTAAAAGATATAAATAAAATAAAAACATAATTTTAGTGTTATCTTTCAAAACAATTCAAATAAAAGTTATGTGCACCCCCTGGAATTGACTATGCTATTTTTTGGTTCTCATTATTTGTGAATATATTTTGTGTGATCTTTTCCTAGAACCAATTTCTCTTGGAATTTAAGAACTCTCATAATTAATAAATGATTTTGATTTGCATGACAGAACAGTAGTAATGAATAAAAAGAAAATTTGGCATAAGGGGAGTGGTGAAATAATTTTTCCCCCTTGAAACTGTTATAATGATTATATTGTAATTAAAACATGTGGATAGCTATTGGTGTCTTTATTAGCTAAGACAAACCTTATAATGTAATTATCTGTATAAAACAAATAAAAAGATCACCAGAAATAACATAAAGTGGAACTTACATGTGGGGAGTTCATAAAGTTGAATTGACTGTACGGCATCATCTGTGACCAAAGGAATCCATTAATGTGGCACAAAGTGAAAAATTGTTATTCAGTTAATACACAAATTATAAGAAATTATAAGAAATAAGTTGAATTTCTGAATTTAAAGTATGATAGTTATAAAGTCTTTTACTAATTATGCATAAATTAAGTATGTAATTAACAAAACTTCTATAGAACTTTAATTTTTAACTCAGAATGTTTTTTGAGAAGAATCAATATAAAATAGTAGAGAATAAAAATCTTGTCTTCTTTGAGGTCATTGAATGTTCTACTCTATCTTTTGTATTTCAGAATTTGAGAATGTGATAATTCTATGAAAAGATGGTTCTCCTTTCTGATATGTAATAAATTTGGCTAATGATCCTGCATATGAGTCATGTAAAAGGTATTTATGCGCTTACGTGTCTCCATTTTAATAACCTTTGGTACAATGTCTACTTTTGCTAGCTTCAACACAGCAAAAAAACTAACATTAACTATACTTCAACAAATTCACATTTACCTTGAAAAAGAATGTTGAAATACATAGGTAGGATGCTGCTGGGGAATTACTACTTTGCCTTGATTTGAGGGGTTAAGTCATTCAAATCTCCCTTCCTCTACCTCTTTCATAAGAAATTTTGTATATCAGAAAGTTTGCCAATATTATCTCTTTTTTTTATGTACTCTGAGAAGAGGGTTCTAGAAAACCTCCCCAGAGACTAAACATACATACCTCTTCACTGTTACTGCTAAATCCAGGCATTCGGGGCATTTGCATCTGGAAGTGAGAATTTGGGCGACAAATTCAGAACACCAATTGAAATAAGCCCAATAAGTATCTTCAAGCTATGCAATAATAGAACACACAAAGAAGTCCTAAATTAAAAAAAAAAAAATACTCACTGGCATAGCAATGGAATTACCAAGCAGACCTAGAAAGATCAGGAGAATCTTCATTTTTCCATTTGGTACCTGGAATACAAAACTGGATTTTATTTTTGGATTGTGAAATAACTATGCTTAGGGCACTCTGCACTTATTTAGTCACTAGCTCATCTGTCTGTCAGGGAGAGTGCAGCAATAGACAGTGATAGGGGCCTCTGCTGCCATTGTTATTTTATGTTAAGAAACTATCATATAGTTATTACCTGGTGCTATTGTAAGAGGCAAAAAGGTCAGAATTAAAAAGGAAAGATAAAAGAGAGAGAGGGAAAGAGACAGAGAGAGAAAGAGATACAGAGAGAGAGAGAGACAGACAGACAGAATGACAGAAGATGAAGACATTGATGCTTGAGAAGATGAAAGGTGGTTCATAGCACTGGAATGTGAAAATTAGGAATTTACTAAAAAAAATGAATATTGAAAATTTTGCATTTCCAGTTGCTAGGCTGGTTTACAAAGGCATAGTATGTCTGACTATATTCATTGTTCAGAATAATCTCAGTTTCAATAAGGGCATACTCCAAAATCAGTACTTTGAGTTACTTTCTAAGATGCCATAGATAACATTCCATTACGTAAAGGCTAAATGAGCTGGACTATCTTAGAATCCTGTCCTTTTCTTCTTTCCTCTATTATTGTTGTTATTATTATTTTATCTTTTAAAAAGTCACTTCTGCTCAAGGGCTGGTCATAGAAATAGGAAAACATAAGCAAAACTATGAATTCATCTGTTTATTAGATACTTAGATTAAACATATATAGAGAAAGATTTAAACTATAGATTTATATATAAAGTTTGGAGATTGTTTTCATAGATTTCATTTATCATACTCTAGTTAATTCTGCAAGATTTGTATAATTAAGACATGTATTTACATCTTTTTATAAGGTTCAGTCTGAAGCATTTCCTTGGGTAATTCCTTAAGAAAACTCTGTTCTACTTACATGTTCACTAAGAGGAAAATAAAGGTTTAAATCAATGATTTATTTTCATGGTGTATCAGATAAAACATAATTCCTAGCATAGGAACCAGTATATAGATAGCAGTGCTTTTTCAGCCCTTTTGTTCTTTCTTCCTCTTTCTAATCATGAAATGCATCTAGTAGTGATTTGAGGCAATGCTTACCCTTCTGCTTGCTTCCCAAAAGAGCAATATAATGAAAATACACATCAGCATTTTTCTAAATTGTAAGTAGTCAATTACTTTTTATATATCAGAGAATTGGGAGAGTGTAATTAAACAAAAGAAACAGCAATATGTAAATGCCTTTTTTCCTAATTAAAGATTTTCAGAATTATAACATTGTAAAGAATTAAAAATAACAACTGAAACTAGTGTGTTTATTATAGGCTACAGTAACATGAGAAAGCTAATAAAAAGAATATTGGTGAATGCTTCCCTCACTCCCCCCCAAATCTACATCTAAGATTTTGGAGAACTTTTGGATGTTTAATTTCTCTTTGCTTAATTATCCATTTAATCTCTATAGTAGCTGTCATTGAGATTCTTGATGTTACACACTCTTGTAGGAAGGTGTCATCTTTTATTTTGCAAAAATAAAATGCCACTCTATCTTTTGTGAAATTAATATATTATGTTGGTTGACTTTTAAGATTCCTTCTATCTCTAAAAGTTCATGAAAGTCTATGAATAGTAATTTATTTATTTTTGAGCTGAAAATAACTCTTGTAATGATTGCCTGTGTAAGTTCTTACTTCTTCTATCCCAGCTATGAATTCAGATGCTCTTTGTTTCTTCTGACATATTTAAATAGTGTTCTATCCTCTCAAGTGTATTTCTGATTATTAGTTTGATATGTAACCTGTATATATTAGGAAGGAAAAAATGAATGAAAATACTCACCAGGTTATCTAGCTTAGAAGAAGAGGCTCCATGCCTGCACTGAAGCAGCAACATTTTTTCACCAAAATTTTCATAAGCCTTTAAGAAAAATATAGATATGGCATGAGAACAACAAATAGAGAAATGAAACAAATATTTTAAACAAATAGCAAAGCTTCTGCTCTATGGCAGCATATCTCATGTTAATTATTTTATCTAATCATACCTTTCTTTACTAGAGGGCTTTCAAAGTAATTCTTAATCTTTTGTTGCTTTAAGGGTAGGATGAAAGCTAAATTGGAGAGAAAATGACCTGGGCCCTGTATTTTGATATACTTCTAGTGCAGAGTTGACGAAACTTGACTGCTCTATGAGGAAATGTACAAAAGCGCCGTATTAAATGAGATCTAGGTAGGTTGGAAGAAAACTTATAAGAAAAGCAAATACACCAAATAAACTAAATAGTTTAAAATTTTACAAGGAGACCAGTCTGAAAACAATGATTATACAACCAACATCAAATAATGCAATAAGGAAGTCTATAAATTAAGTTCATATTTTGGCACTATATTATTTATGTTGATAAACTCTAATACTTACCCAATGACAGTTAGAAGCTCCAATATATATTAAAAAAATAACTTTTACTTAAACTTTGTTACCCTTTGAAATATATTCTTAATGGTCTACAGTGGAAATGCTACAAATTGCTGAAGCCAGGGAGATATCAAGAAGCAAGACACATTTATTTCTTAATAATAAAACAAAAATTTTTTGTGAAGATGTTCTGTACCACAAAGTCTTAAAATAAAAAGACTCCTCCTTGTCAGAAGAGCTTGGGATAGCAAGGTCACATTTAAGCACTGCTGCAGACCTACATAACCAATCAGGTTTGAGAAAAATGGTTTTGCCATCACAAGAGTTTAGGATAAAAAAAAAATACATCCAATGTAAAATTTATAATGTGTTATTATAGGAGCTGTCAAACCAAGTCTCTTATTACGTATAATAACAGTCCAGGAAAATGAGCTTGCACCAGTAAGATTTAGAAGATGCTTTCCTTGATGAATTTTGGGCTTTTCAAATGTATAAAGACATTTAGGGAACAAAGGTGAATATTAACTCTATGCTATTGCTATAAATATTGAACATCATCAAAAGAAAGGCCAATATATGCGTTTAATTTAAAATAGGTAGTTATATATATTAATATGTAATTAAAATGATCTGTAATGTTATGTCCAGGGACAACTCAGTGGCTTGATTTGATCTGAATTACATAAGGATACCAGGACATAGTGTTTTTTCTGAAGTCAAATACAGTTCAGTCACTGGGGATTCAGAGTTTTAGAAAAGCTGGGCAAAATGGCAAATGAATTCTCAGCTATTAAAGACAATCCAATCTCATGAAAATCTGAATTGAGATATTCACTGAAGGGGTTATGTTATAATTCTTTTTTGAAATCTGACTTTCCATAATAAAGATTTTACTTCTAAATAAATGGGACGATTATACTTTTCATTGACAAGAACAAGTTTTGTTATTTTTGTTCTTTTATGGCTCCGCGAGAGAAGACATTTATAGTGGTGTTGTTTGCTTATTTTGATGTTGGCATTTAAAAATTAAGAATGTTTGAATTTGATGACAGAAGCTGGTTCCTGTTTGATATAATTATGCACATAAGTTTATCCAGGGGTTTCATAGGCTGCTGTTCCTCCAAGGCATAAGAGGTGCCATGTCCTTCCTCTAGCATCAAATAACACTGCATTTCTTAGCACTTCCACTGCTGAATTTAGTACCACAAAGATTAAAATTTCTCCAGAATATTTTACTTAAAACTCTAAATATTTCTTAAGTCTGTATGTATCCAAGATGTACAAGGGTATACCTGCTCCAAGTACCCAGCTGTCTTTGTCTGATTTTGTAGAAATTGCATAGGAATTATAATACTGTATGTATTGTGTGTATGTTGAGATGAATTTGCAAAGGGTGAGATACTCTGGGGACAGTGTATTCATGAAAGTGAACTGAGAATTGTGATGCTGGAGTTTTGATTTTGGCCTTAGCCATATAGGTTATTGGGAGTTGCCACTAACCCTCACTTTTGATTATCTTCTCTATTTCCCTTCGTTCCATCTGCCTCAAGGGTAGTTAGTGGTCATGAAATAATCCATGTTTCAAAAATCCAGCCAAGCTATTGAATGGATGAACTCTTAATAGTAGCGGCTTGGATTGAAAAAACAACAATTTTTTTTTTTCCTTTATAAACTCTAAAGAGGTGCTCAGCTAGATAAAATCTATTGAAACAAGTTCCTTGTGATTTCTCTCACTTTACTCCAATCATATCTACTTATTTTATAAATTCTTCTTCCCTCTAAACAATTACAATATTTTGTGAACATTTTTATAATTTGGCTTTCTAGAAATTTTAAATGTCTCTTTGTTCTTAGTTTTTCTCTATATATTCCCCTTCTGTGACAAAACAAAGCTTCTTAATGGGGATCTGTAAACCCATGAAATTGCATATAAAAATGCGTGCGTGTGTGTGTGTGTGTGTGTGTGTGTGCAAATGTACCTTTTTATTTTCCTCTGAAAAGAACCCATATCCTCCAAAAGTCTGTGACATTTCTACTTTTCTTTTCCTTCAATTACCAAGATCCTCTCATTGCCCTGGATTTTAAGCTGTTGAGAGCAGAAAAGTCTTCTATTGTTTACTTTAGTTATGGTGGAAAGAATCAGCTTTTGGCATTGCCAAACCTGAGTTTAAACCTTCCACAATTAACCAACTATTTAATTTTCTGTTTAGTAAGTTGGGGATAATAAGTTTCTTTTAAGAAGTAAATGTATGTATGTAATAATGTAAAAATAATGTATGTAAATGCCTGGTACCACTGAGTGATGATCAGTGACTAAGTGATCAATACATGAGATACTTGTATGGTTCCACATTGCACCTTGTAATGATTTATTAAAGACTTAAGAGTAATAAAAACAATAATAGTTCTCAGAGCAATTAGATTGTCTTCTAAGCACAACTGTTGAGCTGAAATTCTTTGAATTACTGACCTTGAGACACGAGATAAAGTAGTGTCTTAGGAATCCATTATTGGTGACCAAATGGTGTCTAAGAATCCACAACCTTGACTTCTCTCTGGAACCATTCATATAGGCTTTAAATGTGAAAAACTCTTCTATCATGAGAAGAAGGGGTGTATTTAACCTCCTACAGATTAAATGGTCAATAATGTTTTATTCTACAAACATTTCCTGAATGGCCTCTTCATGCAAAGCCCCAGCTTAGGTGTCTGCTCATCCTGCATAAGATTTTATGATAAGAAATTTTCTGAGTCAGAACTCAGAATTGGGTTCCAATTCTGACTTCTATGACTTACTAGTTTTAAAATTTGGCCAAGTGAATTAATCTTTTTAAGCCTAAGTTTCTTCACTTATAAAATGGAGGATAATGATATTTCCTTCATTGGTTTGTTGAGAATTTAATGAAATAATTTAGCACATAGTGCAAATAAATAAATACGTAACTGTTATCTATGATTATGATTAGTACTTGCTAAACAGCTGCTTAAATATTGATCAGTAATATATTTCTTAAAGGTTTTTGAGAGATATTTCACATCACTGTGCTTATTCATTAAAAAACAAAGCAAAACAAACAAACAAAAAACCTCTCGAGGAACAACTAAACATGTACATAATTAGAACGTAGAAAAATGAAACTGAATTATAAATATCAGATTTATCCAGTTTAAGTCCAACTTTTGGTTTACAAATACAAAAGCTACTCTGTGATGACAGTGAGTTGTGGCTGGTGGGTGGTTATTTATTTGGACCACCCTCAGAGGTGGTGTTTACTTCTTGGAGCCCTGAGTAATCACTCTCATATATGTCTCAAGATCAGCTTAAGAATGATTTGGAGTCTAAGAAAACTCTCTTGTCTGCATCTTATCTCTTTACCCTGTGAAGAAAATATAACCTAATGGTGAAGAACACAGGTCCTGAAGTTTGAAATATTGAGAAATGTGTATACACTGTGTTTAGAACAATACCTGACTCTTCATATGAGTCAGATATTTTTCTACTTTTTATAATTTATATAAGTTGCTTATAATATCATCTTATCATGAAAATAATATATTTATTGATCATTTATTGTATTGGGTGCTGCTCTAAGCAGTTTTCATAGATTAACACTCATGTATTCCTCACAACAATGCTATTATTATTCATATTTTAGTATAAGAAAGCCAAGACACAGAAAGATTGTTCAGGGTTACACAGCCAGTAAGTGGCTGAAGCCAGATGCTCTGGTTCCAGAGCCCCTGTTCCATCCTCTACTCCATGCTGCCTTGGTCTGATTGAAGCAATGAGGTTAACGCACAGCTTCCCTAGCTTTTTCTTTCATAACAATGGCTGCTATGTCCCTTTCTGAGTATCTTGATTTTAATTATGGAGAAAAAAATCAGAGGGAGTCAAAATACCTATCTTCTAGTTCTTGATGGAACACTCATAGACCCTGGGACTTTGAGAATGCCATTATACTTTACCGTGTTTCCATATTGTTATTAAGATCTATTTGTTTTCCAAATTATTGGCTCTCATCAGTAGACTAAAATATTAATAGTCTGGACTTTCAGGCTAAGATAACCTTAAGTTTTGATGCACTTTAGTTTTGATGAAATGCATGGTTGAGAGAAGGGGTTTTAGGAAAAGAGCTATTTAATCACACTCCTGGGAACTCCAAGATCTGTCCTTGGATCAAGTCATACCATCAGTAGATCATACATTGAGATTTAACTTCTTTAAAGAATCACTAAATTATACTTACTAAAGCTCCCAAATGAGAGATAAACGTAGGAAATTGGCTCTTATGAAGGGCTCAATAAGTGCCAGACACAGTGGGAGTGAGTGGTGGTATAGTGGTGAACACTACAGACATAGCCTGCCCCTTCACAGAGAGATTTATCCAATAGTAGATCTAGATACTGCAATGTCAGATGTAATATTGTGTAGTAAGGAATAAGATTAGGGAAGTTCAGAGTACATAGGAGGGATTTTA